CAAGCAAACACAGATATGGAGGGCTGTGTGATCAGTGCTCTTTCAACTTCTTTTATCCCTGTAGTTCCTGTGCAATCTTCTATGGGGGTGGAATTTCAAGGACAGTCAAAAAAGAAAAGTTTAGTGCCTTTTCTTGGAATCACAGATATGACAGAGACCCTCTTATGCTCTGTTGGTTTCCTTAAATTTTTGTATTATAAAAACTGGGGGGAAATCCATCCAAATGCCTTTTCTCTGATCACATGATATTCTATGCGGGAACCTCATGGTACCTGAGGGAAACTGGGATGGGAAGACAGAAGGTAATGCTACCAAAAAGATAAATTTCAGACCTCTTGTAGCCTTAACTTCTAAGGAGATCTGCTATTATAGGCTTGATAAATTTCTCTTCCTTTTAAGATTTCTCTTGAATGGTTTTGACTACTGAAAATTGTTTATAAACCAGTTTTTATTTTATAGATGTACAAAATAAACGCTCAAAGAAGCACAGAATAATAGGGAAAAAATTTACATGTCTCAGGGCTGGAGAGATGGCTCAGCAGTTAAGAACACAGGCTGTTCTTTGCAAAAGACCCGGGTTTGAATCCCAGCACCCACATGGCAGCTAACAACTGTCCATAACTCCAGTTCCAGGAGATCTGACAGTCTCTTCTGTCCTCCATGAGCACTGCACGACACGGGTGCACTTACCTACATGCATACACATAAAATAAAAATAATGAAATATATTTTAAAAATTTCCATATCTCATGGGTGAAATGTTTCATGTATAAGTACTCTCACTTTTCCTTCTTTCCTCCTGACTCCTAGTCTCAGTAAAAAATTGCACTTCCAATTCTATCACATTTTAAAAATGACAAATCTCTTTGAAACTACACCATCTGGGTCCCCCATTTGTATTTGGATGACAAAGTATTTACCTAAAGTCACATAGGTAATCACAGAACTACAACTTGAACCAGATCTCCCCAGTCCTAAACCACTTCCATTGTTTCTTCATTGATCTACACATACCACCAATGAGAACTTCACTGCTATCTAAGGAAAGCATGGAAAACTTCAGTTCTTAAACTTATGCTTCTTGAAGACAATATGAATGTATAACATAAAAGTATAAAAATAAATAATGATCTATTGAAAAACAATCTTACTTCTTCCTACCCACAACTTAACATCCGCAGTGCTAGAACCAGAAGCTCAAGATTTGGGACAAAAACCATAGCACTACATCCTGGCATCCTTCTTCATTTCCTGGGCAACTAAAAACTTCTTGTAGGTCACAGAGATTTTTAATTCATACTTCAGTGATCCTGAACCCTAGACATGTGACCTCAGGTTATTATCCCTGTCTCTGAGATTCAATGTCATGAAGTTAAAAGCATGTCCCTTCTATGGACTGTTTTTTAAAATATTATATGAGACAAGTTCTGGCATAGCATAAGTGCTCAGTAATAGTCACCATATGTTTCTATCTATTAGTGAATATTTCTGTACTATAGTACTAGGCCTGGACTGCTCTATAGATTCAGTAAACAAGTTTACCTCTGACAAACACAAATCTAGCTAGTTTACCATATTTCACTCAGTTAAATAAACCCTTGCTGAGTTCTTAGTATCTGCCAGACTCAGCATTACACCTGCACTGTAAAAAATTAACAGACAGTTCCCATCTTCCAGGGCTGACAGTATAAGCCACAGCTGATGAAAGAGCTTCTACATGTTAAAGACCTCTACAAGAGAAGATCTCAGCACACCTCTGCCAACAGCCACATTCAATTTAATTTTCAGTTCTCTGTGGGACGTGTGTGTGTGCACGTGTGTGCATGTGTATGTGTGTGCATGTGTGTGTAATTCACTGAGAAGCAATGGATCTCCATTTCCCTCTTATTCTAGGCTCTAGAAGAATGAGTGACCAATTGGTCACCATTCCTATTTAATACGCCTCCACTCTCTGAGAGCTATTGAGCGATTGTTCTGTCTTCTCTTTCTACATTAAATAATTCCAATCCCTTAACCTTTCCTCAGAGGTCCTATTTGCCAGCCTTCAGTTTAATCATTTTCATTGCTCCCCTCTGGAGTTTCTCCAAGTCCTCGACATTAAAATGTGCTGCTTTGCCATTGAGTTCATTCTTCTGAGGAATGTATCCCGTCATATGGACAAGAACAAAGGAGAACAGCCTCCAAATAGAAGGACCATTGTAGGCAGAAGTAAGGATGATTTCCTATGAAGGGACTCATAGAGAGCACTCAATTCTCAAAGAAAATTAGCACTTACTGTCACCACTACTAAAGAGGAAGGGCTGAAATCAGATCAGCTTTTAAATAGTGGAACTACTCCACTTACAATTATCTAAATTATGTTCAAGTAGATAAGGCTATTAACAGCAAACCAAGACTTGCTGTGGTTACACCTGAGATTCTCAGATCCCAATCAATAAAATCCCTGAAATACGAAAGTTCACAAGATAAAACAAGAATTCTGGATTCTGTAAAATGCCTCTGGTCATCAGGTTGACAGATGAGAGCTTACTATGTCATTCACAGGCAACAGCTTTGGCCGGACTTGGCAAAGGCAAAGGATCTTTCTTTTGTGTTCTATCCATCAATATAATTAATATTTCTTGGGCTGAAAGTGCAGCAAATCTCAGTGACTCTTAAGAAATGATAGATAGAGGTTAATCAAATACATACTGATCACAGCATGCTATCAACACAGGCAGCAAGGAGCAAATATGAAAACCACAGCTCTAACAAAATATCCCTTCAAGACATGCACAGTTTATAAGGAATATATTTTCATACATTCTTCCCAGCCTTCTGTAATTATGCCAGTGAGTCTAACCAGCCTCCTGTGAGCCAGCAACACATCTACTTGCACACATGTATGTTTGCCACATACACACGCACTCATGCACACGCACAGACACACTAACTTATGTTTCCTAAACCAAGTTTTCAAACCTTTTAAAGAAGGAAGTCATGAAAACTCTTACTAGATAATGGTCTGCCTGTTTGATGAACTTCTTTGTTTCAAAACCGTTATTTTAAATGGAAAAGTTTTCTTTCCACTTCTGGAAAAGGTGAAATATATGCTTAAGGTGAAAGTCTTGGGTCTGGGGTAACAAGGGTATGATGTGTAAAAAGCAAGCATTACTCCTCTGGGTGACTCCAGGCAGGTGGTGGTCAGATCTAGCTCTGTTTCTGAAGGTACTTGGGCCTTGACAAGACCCTGCCTGACTTAAAACTGGCCAGTCAACAGATGCTGCTCAGTAGAAGTCTGTCATCAACAGGCTTGGGAGAACCAGCTTACATTATGGAACAACCTTCCTGCCAAGTTCTGCAAAGACACCTTCAGTTCTGATATCAGAAGAAAACTATGGTTTAGCATTGAATTTTTCCACAGAGCTGTAGTCACACAGATAACACAATCTATCAACCAATCAGATGTATGGAAATAATATAGTTAAATAATCAAAAGTTAAAATGAGGAGATAGGGTGGGATTAAGAACTAGTCATAGGATCAGAACAAGAAATACCATCCTGGATAACAGCAGATAATCACAAGCTATTTAATTATCACTGAAGTTGACTTGATTCATCATCTCTGCTCATGACAGTTTTCCATGCTGGGGCATGAATCCTGGATATTTGTTACAGACTGAAGGGAGGGTACATGAACACAAACACCGTGTATGTGTGTGTATGTTTGTGTGTGTGTGTGTGTGTGCATGCATGCAACTGTGTTCTAGAAACTCCAAAAAAATGGCATTTAAGGCCATAACATGTTAGGTTTTCCTTGATAAATATGCATTGTAAGTTAGTAGTTATTTTTGCAAAAGTCAACCTCCAATAATGGACTAGAACTACAATAACCTCTGATAAATTTGTTTGGTGGTTTAAAAAGTCTTGCAAATTCAAGGCAAGTATTAAAAAGCAGAAGTAGGGTGCTGTTGTTGACATACGTTACCAGGTTATATTGTAGTGACTATGGCAAGTGGACAGTTCTGCTGCTGGATACCAACCACCCAGTGCACCTCTCTTTACCTAATCATTCTTAAAAACCAGCGATTTGTACCTTTGTAATGCATTGCACCATGAGAAGGAATCTTTACTCAATTTCAATTTGGAAAATATCAATTAATACAGCCATCTAGATTCCCTATATGGAGAGATCCTTAAAAAAGATGTGAGAAAATAAATGATCCAATGGATAAAGGGGAAAAAGGTAGACAAGAAGCAGAAAAATGAGATTGGTTCATTTTTTTAAAGTCCATCTAAAATGAGCAGGTGGCATTTGCAATAAAGCTTTTCTGAACCTGAAAAAGAAAAAATTCCTGCTGACTTTCAAACACCAACCAGTTGGGTCATTCTTTTTAAAAAGGGGGAAAAAGATAGCCAGCAGATTAAAGGAACTCCATTTATAAAAATCAAATGAACCTCTAACAAAGCTTGTTTGGGGACATGAATAAATCATCCAGTCATGAATTATTCATTGTTATCAAGAAACAAGCTGGGGATTCCAGGAACTGGGCCGAATCTGGAGATGAGCAAGTTTATTGTCTCATGCCCACCACATGAAGGGAGAGGACCAGCCATGGGCATTGTCATGTGAGACAGACTGTGCCAGTCCTCCACTGATGTTTCAGGAGACATTTTATAGCCTTTACAGCCAGATGACAAGGCAAATAAAGTTTAATCCACAGAAGCTTTAGAAAAGTCCATGTTCTCAATATGCAGACAATAATATGCCTCTTTCTTTCTCTTTGTCTCTCTTTCAGCATGGTATACATAGGAAATATGAGCTATGTGCAAAAAACCAGAGGGGTGAAAGCTTCCATCTGAAGGGGTTGACTAGAAAATTCCTTGACGATAAACTGTTGGCATAGTCTGCCTTGCTCATTCATGGCTTAGGGTTGGTTTATTCTTGGGAGGGGACATAGGAGGGTAGAGGGAAGGCTTCCAGACTTAATGCACTAATCAATGCATGTGTGTGTTCCAGGTCCAAACTGCTTTGCAGGAACTACAATAATTCCAGCTGGCATTGAAGTGAAAGTGGACGAATGTAACATCTGTCACTGTCACAACGGGGACTGGTGGAAGCCTGCTCAGTGTTCAAAGCGCGAATGCCAAGGCAAGCAGACTGTGTAGGAGCAATTCCCGACCAATGACAAGTTCTTAGGAAAGGATGCTATGGCTTCTACACTGCACATGTTTAACACTAAACAAAACAAGCAAACAAGCTCCTGCCAGCTACAACAGGGTCACCAGCAAAACCTTTTGGGGTTGACAAAAGTGAATATTTTACTAAGAGGAAATTTCTCTTTATATAT